AACGGTGCAGTGGTCTAAGCCTAACTGACGTACCGAAACGCCTGTTCTCCATTTCATAGAAATGGTTACGTCGTGAGGCCAAACCACTCACGTACTTGGGGGGCAAGTGTGGATGCCGTACGGTCAGGGACTCCTTGGGATATTCTGTCCTTCTGAACAGTTCCGCATACTTCACACGCAGTGTTGCTGTGAAGGTCTCCTGCGGCTATATTTTCTCAGGGTGGTAACTGCCGCTTCTGTGAAATAAAGGCGTGATACTGACTATATTCGGAGCACAGCGATCACAAACGAAGCCAGACACATGTTTTACCGGTTTAGTGTCGTTGAACGGAGCACCCACAGACAGTTTGATTCATCAACGAATTGCCGGTACTTCTCACGTGCTTTCTCCTTGATAATTGGCCCCTGGCTAACCACAGGTAACGCAGACGCAACTCTGATTTTGGTCGCAAACATGCTGTTACCTATCTGATATGACAAGGCGGCACCTATCGGTCTTACAACAATGCCACCACCCTTCATGTAGAGAATCCAAAATGGCCTGACAGATGGTTCCGCACAAGGGGACTTCATGGAGTTGGCGGCCTCAGGTACTCTAAAACTAAATCCGCTTAGAAAGTCCCATATTGGGCCGTGGAAAACGTGAGCACCTGATGAGGAAATTCGCCCGTGTGTGACCGCGCACGCAGAAGAACATGGATGCGCGCATGTGCCATTGAGGGTATGGGCATCGCTGACATCCCTCGTAAGTAATAACAAAGAAGGCATAATCTGGCGTCCAAAATGCATAGCGTTGAACTAGTTCAATGTTATAAGGACGGGCACATACTCCAGTCTGCAGTGTTAAGTTTTTTTTAATCTTTTTGGAGACCAAAACGTGCGTACGGGTTAATTCAGTTTATTGAGGGTAATAAGCGTGAGCCTCTGAGTACCCTATTTGAAACGTAAAATTGGGTGTGGTGTACAGAGAGATTATCTGGGTCAAAACAATGCAAACGGGACCACAATGGTATGACAAAGTGAGAGCGAGTTTCAGGGGATAAGCTAGATCTCTCATCGCCCCCGGCTATTTCGGAACATAATTATATCAAGGCTCTTTTCAACGTTAAGTATTGTTCACCGCAAACTAATAGTTCTCGGCAATCCAAGCTTAGGTGCATACCTCAATCTATTACTATCATACAAACACAGGGAAGTCCCTAAGTAGACATAGGTGGGTTAACCCACTTACGACGTAGCCGTAACGCACACCAATATTAAACTCCCCCCCCATACATTTCTTCATTTTCTGATTTGGCTAATTGATCAAGTTATTCATATTGACCCAACTGTGAAAAACTCGACACCGAGGCGCCGAGTTTTTCACAGTTGGGTCAGTACGAATTATTCACAATCCGCCAAAACATCTACGATCAAGTTATATTCATGCGTCAGCAGGGATTAATGCATTGCAACATCATAGCTCAGGTGTTTATTATCAGTGTATGTGCATATAAGTATGGTTCACACAAACGAAAATTGCACAGGAGACTAGATAAGAGTAATAAAATAACCATGTAAAATATAAAAGTTCGCCAAGATAGAGTAAAGTAAATAATGGTAACGATCAACAACAGGAGCGAAGAGGCGAGCTCCTGGCGAATTAAGTCCTTGTTTCAGTAGCCATGTAACCTTCCCATGTACCTATCAAATAAATGTATACAAAAGTATATAGATCTACTGAAGAGTCAGTTGGCGAACACATGCCTTCGGTAAGTCATCGACAGGCCGATACATTTACATGGGTAATGATCATTCTAATGGTATACAGGAATAATTGCACACTACTCTAAAGACCTGCGCAGGCGCGTGCTAGCCACAGCTAAAACAGTGGTAATTCGACTAGCGAACCCAGCACTCTGTTGTCAGAGGACGCTGACACAAGCAGTCTATCAACTCCAGACGGTGAATGTATGCCGTCCCGACGCCCTGAGAGCAGGCACACGCACTTACAGTGCTTACAGTTTAACCGCAACCCCTCTCCTTTTACCTCTTACACCCCAAGTCCGCCGTCCTCAACACGCGGACTCCGTCATCCGGCGGCGTGGGAATACGGAGCCCGCTCAGTTCTGCCTCTGGAAAGCATTAATATCCCGTTTACAATTAGAACGATCAGTACTCATGTACATGTATAGGCCTGATGATCAGTTACCGAAAGCATATTTTCGCTAACTGACTCTTCAATCGTAATATGGGAATTTCCGCAGAAGTATATAGACATATACCGGACAACAATAGAATCAAATTATGTTGATGGCTTTGTTGCAAAAATATATTTAAGTTGTGAGAAAGGTAAGGAATAACAAGTAAGTAACTTCATGAGTGAATGCACGAACATTAACTTGTACTGCGCTTCATCTAAATGATCTTAGGAATATTCGCCTCGGGAATCATTCGCCGAGTGGAACTTCCACTTATGTCTGTGACAGTATCGTTGCTGATACGTTATCTCGATCAGACATCGAAATGCTGACATCCGATAATGGCCTGGCGAAGCTTACATGCCTCCAGTTAGTGGGTAAGTTAACTGCTGAGCTACGTCACCCTACCATGCCGAAACTTCGAGATGCACTGCTTCTTTCAAAATTAATTCTACGCTCGCGCGACTGGTCGAAAGGTACTCCTCGGCCTGTAGCACCACTGACTTACCAGTGGACTGTATTTGACCACTTGCACCCCATGTCATATCCCGGGTACCGATCTGGCTTTGAGACAGATGGCTTCTTGTATTGTCTGGTCGAAGTTGAATCCAGACGTACGAAGCCCACCACCGTACTTTCTCCATACCAAGCACGTGTAAATTTATTATTAGTCGGGATAAAATTCCAATGTAACGCAAAGTTTGCCCCTCATTAGCCAACGCAAAGCCACCTCCCGAAATCTTCCCATCTGCAATTTGCTGCCGATGCGGGTCCTCCCTCTGACGTCAACCAAATTTCCCCGTAAGTGCGGTGGTCCTAATTCCATCTAGATCTTCATTTGAGGAAATTATCACTAATTCAGTTGGAATCGGCCAGTTTAAGGCATCTCCAGGTAACGATGATTGCTTAAGTCCTGCTCCCAATTCTCTCAGGACGCTTGATCTTAGGAGTAAAGGTGGACTAACTGTAAAGTCGCAATCGACATCTATGCACAGAATAATGACTCAGTTGATAAACTTGGGTTGAATCCGCGCTGTTCCCGCGCCAGACCACTCAAGTGTAACTTAGCGATAAGATCAAATAAGCCAGTTAATAGCCCAGGAAGATCGTTACCCGTTCCGATCCCCATTTCTTGAATTAAAGATGGCAGCGCAGTTTGGGAGCCCAATAACTCACCAATCTGTAAAATGCCAGCGTACAATATTGCAAATAATCTCCCCAAGCCCCACCCCCAACTATAGTGACTTCCCAAATAACGAAGCCTACTCATAATCTAAACAGTTTATCAAGACAACTCTGTCTGTTTTCCAACATAAATCACCCCTCACATTAAGCTCAATATTCTTAAAATTCTATTTTCAATGCGCCTTATTTTTTGGACCCCACGAAATATCATTCCACTTCATGGGTCCTGCCCACATCAGTTTCCAAGCAATACTGCCTCTTCAGATCGTGGAAATATCCCGAAAAATTTCGGACAACAGCAATTTTGCTTTTCACCACCAGCTCTTCCCTTTTTATAACTAGTAATATGCGGAACTTGCATCACAGGGATAGGCTAAGTGTAGTTCCATTCAACGCGAGACCAGTCATACAAATGATAGCACAATTAAGAACTGTAGCCTTCGAGTTTAGCCCTGATGTTTAGGGCATTACAGAATCCTGGGTTCAGTCTCTAATTTCCGATTCGGCCCTCGCTATAGTTACTCTCAACTTATACCGACAAGACCGTATTTTTTCGTTTCGGTAGTCATTCCGCAAAAT